CCAATTGCGCGTCAGTCGCACCCTTAGGAGGTCCGCGGGTCCCTCAACTAGGTGAATTACTCCTTCTTCGATCCTTCATTCTAATCGTGAATTCGTCCTTTAATCCTCAATAACAACTAAAAAGCGCTTATGCCATTCTGAGAAGAATTCACAACAGCTTTCTCAAGAACGAGTCCAGAAGAATCTGCAATGGAAACTTGATTTATGAGTCGAGCTCAGCGGGGTCTAGCTAGTATAGAACCCTGGATAGATAGTATAGAACCCTGGTTAGAAGAAGACTTGTACAGTTTGCACAGTTAGAGCTAATGTCTCTTAGAAATCATACAACAGCGCGTAGATTCGAGGAATTAAGTAACAGCTTCACGCTGGATTATTGTAGGCCTGAGACTTTAGGTTCGACAGTGATGGCAGATGGCGTCACATTCTTACAAGGGTGAGAGCGGTAGAGGAGAGGCCTGCTTCTTCTCCTTCAGAAATATTCAAGTAATATTTTGCTGTTCAAATTCCATCAACAGCGGCAATTCAGGAAAATCGCCGATGTGATGGAATTTGAACAGCAAATTCAAAAAACATGGGCAATGTTTTTTGCACGCCCCTCCCCCCTTCCTGTGTGAAGGGATTTTTCCGAAGACCTCGGCCGAAATGGCGCATTGCTTGGATTCCACACTGTTTTCAGACCTAGCTGTTCACAGCTAGGAAGGAGGGGTAGTAGTAGTAATAAAACTGTTCACACTCATGGTGCCGTGATCAAGTCCTGGATATCTCTCTGAGACATACGGTGCTTACGTTGAGCGAGAAAAGTCCATCGGGCTACTTTTGCCGGTGACATGGACGAATGAAGACGTCACCTGTACCGATTCGAGCCTCCCGATTAGCAACAGGACGACAGGTGACACAAAAGTGGCAAATAGTATGATGCAAATGCCGCTATGATTCCGAATGAACGTTGAGTGTATGGCGCAACTCAGAAAAAGGTCCCCTACTACTGATGTTGTTCTGGATGTTTTTATTTCGAGTCCTACGGTCAACTAAATCTTCAACCTCCATGTTTTATGGTATCAGGCTAGTGTCAAATGTTAACTCGCAGACTTGATTCTTGGGCGCTTACGTGAGAACGGAGAGCTACATATTGCGGATTCCGTGAAC